ATTTAGGCGAAACGTGCCTAGGAATTCCTATCAGCATAGTAAAGCTCTGTATACATCGGAAACGACATCACCACATGACAGGACATTAAGCTTTCATCAACATTATCTAAACGCTTTGTGGACGGAGACATGCATTTTTTTTAAAGCGGCAGCGACATCATGCATTTTTTTGAGTTTGACATAAAAATAGGAGGAATCTTATCAGTCGCTAAAAAATAGAAATAGGTCTAATCTGATTATATCTAAATTTTTGGCTAGTCGCGATGTTGCCGTGTTAAAATAATTTGACAGCTGTGGTCTGTAGCCCGTCATTTCCAATGTGTTTCAGGCTTAAGACGATCCAATGTTCGCGTTTCATTTGACAGAATCCTCCAGCAATGATTCGTATTCCTGAGAATTATTTATTTTTGAGAATTTATTTAAGGACTTCGACGCATAGTTACAGTCGAAATTCGACCGTTCTTTTAATTCTATTTTCTAATATTATTTCTAATTTTAAGGATACCGAATTTTGAAATCAAAAAACTCTCTTGAAAGAGACAGATACAAAAAAAAAAACAAAAATTAAATTTTTTCTTTGCGTACGTATTCATTCCCTCCTTCGCCTTCGAATTAGTTTTCATATTCGTATTCTCAGTCTTCTTCATAATCACCTCAGTGTAAGTATTCGTCCTTGTATTCGCATTCGTCCCCGTAACAGGAATATGACTGTTCGCCTTCTTCGTCGTCTTTATCTTCGTCTTCGCCACCGCCCTAGCTTGGTCCTCATATTAGTTTCCGTCTTCGGATTCCCCTTCGTCTTAGTCCGAGTACCAAGGATTTGTCTTTGTCTTTGTCTTCGTACTATTGTTGGTATTCGTCTTCTCATTCTTGTTCGTCATCCTACTTACTTTCTTATTCATCTTAGTGTTCTCATTAATCACCGCGTTCGTTTAACTGCAATAGCAAAATCCGTTCCTTTCAGAGCAAATACCTATTAACTCGAAATTGCAATAAACATTCCTAATAGTTTTTGCGAATTTTCATCTGTAAATGATTTTTTTTTTTTGATAAATTCCAGCCAAATAGCATTACATGATATCGCACTTTGCCCTAAAAATGCATATGTATGTATACTTGTACATACTTATTTCTACGTAACATAATCTAAATTAATATTCAAAATCAAATACGTTTGATATTCGTGGTATTTTACAAAGTATGGGAATAATAGATAGCATGTATATGCAAATACAATTTACATATGCCTACGTGAAAGTATTCCAATAATATGCCGACTAATTTATTTTAATGCAATGTGAATGTCACATTTGGAGTGGCATTTAGTTTAGGAATTTTTATGACTAACGCTAGACAAATAAATAACTAAACTAAAGTTATAAATCTCTACAAATAGGTAATGTATAAGCGGTGCTGAAAGTAGGTATCCATGTGTTTCGCTTTAGTATATCAGTAGTTTAATGAAGAATGATGATAATGAAAATACCTGCTTAAAGCTTAAATAAATATGCAAGCGACTAAAAGTCTAACGACCGACCATCAAATAAATACCAAGCATTATTAAATCAAATACAGATAAGAACCCAAATGTGTTTCGGCTGTACCAACAGATGAACTGAGTAGATGCTAAGATAGTTGCGGAGATAAGACCTCGTTTATACAAGGCACTTCTTTGCGTGTATTTACGTATTAGGGGCATTCTTATTTAGTACGAAAAAGTAGCTTACTTTGAATTCTTATATGTAGCAGCTAATGTGTCAAGAATTAAAAAAAGGGGCTTAAAGTATTTATATCTAAAACAAAATACACTTCGGTCTTTTTAGGCGGTTTTTTATAAGGATTTGAATTTTTGTGGTTTTTCAAACCATTTTTTCGCTTTAGCGATTTTGCTTTTTTGAGAGTTGTTATAACTTTTTTTTAAAGTGTAAGAGACAATGTTTCGGAAAATTAATTATCCTTGTATTTTTATATAATTCATGTACTTGTCGTGGTATTTTTTTGTTTTTGGTTAAACTACAAATACAATTTTATCTATTTCATTAATGTTTTTTTTGCTTAATATTGCCTCACTTGATTTTGTATGCGGTTTTTTGTAATTTCTTACATGCGAGTATTTGAACGCATCTCCTGTTTTTGTATGCAAGTAAAGAGCTTTTTTATGCGTATATTTCTGAGGAATGCAAGTACACCCCTAATGTTTATAAGTACTATGTATGGACGCATGCTATGCCTATTAGATAACAATGGCATTAAGAGCTGTTACTCAGTTCATTAAAGTTTACTACGGCAATTCAGTTAACTACGAATATTTACGTATGTATGTATGTGTATGTAGTATGTACTATGTTCATATGTTAGTTGTTATCTTACCCGATGTGGCGCGCTAAGCAGACGTAGTATGGTGCCCAACTGTGTGGCCAGTGGCATGGTGGCGGCAAAGCCATAAGTTGGTGCACGCGTCGGTATCGGATACATGGCTGTACAATTAAGCGGATCAGTATCGACCAGATACTGCACCCGCAGTGTAATCAATTCGTCTGGATCCATTTTCACTATCATTTTCGCTGCGTGTGTAGGTTTTGTTGTTGCCGGTTGCCGGAGCGATTGTTTGCCAATACTCCCACCTAGCGTTCACTCCTTTTAAATTTTGCAATTATCTCTTACTTTTTTACACAAACACACACACGCACACACACACAGAGAGGCACACTAATTCACCACTTAATACAACACATACATTGATACGATGTGGACAGGTGTGTGAGAGTTTTTGCTTTCCGCCACTTGTGAACCGTTAAATAACATGTTAAACTGCTGGAAACTTGACTAACTTTGCTTTCGTTAAGTTTAACTCATATTTTAAGTTTTATCGCGCATTACCGCCTTTTTTTATTTATTTTTATTATTTTTAATTTCACATATGCATATTTGTATGTGTATGTGTTTCACTTTTCCCGAGTTAATTTAGCAAATCACTTTCATTATTACTTCGGCGCTTTCTGTTTTGGTTGTTGGAGTAGGTACTAAAAATGCCAGCAAATTATTTATAAACAATGCAAAACGCAATTGCAGGCGTTTTTTTTTTTTGGTAAAGACGGTGTTGCTTTGCTGTCGGCTGTTTGCAGAAATAATTATTGTACGTTTTAAATGCGTTGCAGGTGATTATTAAAAAAAAACAAAAAAAAAAACAGAAAAATGTTGGTTAAATTAATTTTGAAAATTTTTGTAATTTACGCTGCTGCGCCGGTCTCATTTTGGTATGTTAAATATGTAAATATTCACTTACTATTTATTTTGCAAGTAGTGGAATCTTGTTCAGTTAAGTAAGAAAAACATCTTCAATGGAAAAACGAATGAAAATCACGAAAACATCGCCAACTTCACTCATTATTCTTAATTTGTATGAAAAAATTTCATTGTTGGCCATAGATTGACCAAACACAATCGGTGAAGTTTTAAAAAGATTTTGAGGACTTATTATTCCAACTTGTGCGGACGATGACAAGATAAAGAGAACCAGATACCCGATCGGAAGAATATTGCTTCGAGTTCGCTTTTGTTGTGTAGAGATATACTGCATATCGTTACCTTAATATAGAAAGGCCCTAATTCATATAGTCGCTGAAATGCAAAAAAGCTCTTGGCGCAAGCTTTAACCATTCGTCCTTAAATATATTAGCCAGAAATGCGAGAAAGAGAACCATTTTGAAATATGAGTGTTTTTTACTATCCATAAAATAATTTATGCAACCTCACATACGCGGTTTTGCATTGACGATGTGTATAGGTACTTATACATATATACATATGTAGACCAAAAACTATATATCGTCACCTGAAGTGTAAAAAGGCGTAACAAAAATCGTCGCTGAAATGCAAAAAGTCGCAAGTAATTAAAAATTCAAAATTCACTTTTTGATAGATATGATGGATTTCATTGAATTACAACTCCCTAGATCGCTTTATGAAAAAAAATTATTATCTTTAGTTAGGACTTTTTACATTTCAACGTTTGTTACGGTTTTTTGTATTTCAGGTGACGATGTGTATATCCAGTTTCTTATGTATTACACTGA